ATCCTCCCGCCTCGGCCTCCCAGAGTGCTAGGATTACAGGCGTGAGCCACCACACCCGGCCTGGCATCAGCCTTGACTCATTCTTTCCCTCACCGTCAGCTCCATTCAGCCCATCTCCAAGACCTGTCTGGAATTGGAACACTTCTTGACGTCTGCTCCACCACAGCCTGCCACCATGCTCTTGTAGCAGGGCTTCGTTGGCAGTTTGCCTTTCTTGCTGTGATGTATTATAAAGTTGAGTCTTGATGGCATCTTAGATTGGATGACATATGCTATTTATTTATTTTTTTCTCATTTCAGTTGTATTACATGTTTTTAGTGGAAAATTTCAAAAATACAAGGAGTAGAAATCACTAGGAATTCCATGATCCACACGTAATCACCACTGATATACCCTGCGGTCTTTTCATGCAGACGAGTGTGAATACACATACACGTGTTCAAACACAGATGTCTATACAGACTCTTCTGCAACCTATTTTTTTGTTTTTTTTTACTTGACAGCTTAAAGTAATGAATGTCTACCTATGACATTAAATTTTCTTCTGTAGCACAATTTTAGAATTTTGTTTTTGTTTCGAAGGGCGGTATGTTGTGCTATTTCTGGGCCTAAGACTCTGTGTATCTGATGTGCTTGTCCTGTGTCCCCAGAGCAAGGCACAAAATCGCTCTATATGTATATATTTTTTCTTTTTGATAACAACTATATTGAGTTATAGTTCATATACCATACACTTTAAATGCCTACTTATAGTGTATGATTCAGTCGTTTTTAATATACTCAGGGTTACATAACCATTACTACAGTCGAGTTTAGGACATTTTCATCACCCCAAGAAGAAACCCCGTGCCCATCAGCAGTCACTCCCTGCTTCACCACAGATGCTCCAGCTCCAGGCAGCTGCCAGTCTACTTTCTACGTCTGGATGATTTTCCCATTCTGGCCGTTTCATATGAATGGAATCATACGATATGCGATCTTTGTGACTGACTCCTTTTACTTAGTGTAATTTTTTCCCTCTTCTGACTTTCAGCTGAAGTGTCATGTTTTTTAAGGTTCACCCATACAAGTGGTGATTATCATGATTCAACACTTCATTCCTCTTTATGGCTGAATTATATTCCAGCGTATGAATATACCACATTTTCTTTATTGACCAGTTAATAGACATTTGGGTTCTTTCCACTTTTTGACTATCATAAATATACTACCATAAACATTTATGTACAAGTTTTTGTATGGACATGTTTTCATTTGTCTTTAGAATATACCTAGGAGTGGGATTTCTGGGTTAAATGATAACTCTTATGTTTAACTTTTTGAGGAACTACTAGACTTTTTTCCAAAGTAGCTATACCAGTGTATAAATATTTCCTGAGTGAAAGGATTTTACCGTGTTGAAAATGCTGCTGCTTCATTTGGCAAATATTCATTGGGTACCTATGTGTGAAACGTTGTTCTAGGTGCTAGGAATCCATCTGTGGTCAGAATAAAAAAAAGATCCCTACCCATCTTACATTCTAGTAGAGGAGATAGACAATAAACAATAAACATTATAAATAAGTACATTATATGCAAGTACGTTATGTAGTATGTTAGAAGGCAATACGTGCTGTGGAAAAAATAGAAGAAGATAAAAGGGATTGAGATTGTTGCAGTTTCAAATAGGGTGGTAAGGGTAGGCCTCACTGCGAGGGTAACAGTTGAGCAGATTTGAAGGAGTTAACTGCATTGATATGTAAGTCAGGAGCACTGCAGGCAGAGGGAATAGCTTATACAAAGGCCCTGGGGTAGGAAAGTGACTGGCATAGTCAATGGACAGCAAGGAGGGTGGTTGAGTAGAGACATGCCATGATCTGACTTAAAGAGCTCCCTCTGGCTGCCGTGTGGACAAGAGACTGTAGGAGGGACAGTGGAGGAAGGGAGTCTGGTGAGGTGAACCTGAGAGAGTGATCTTGGCTGTACTTTCTTGTATCCATGGCCTTGTTTGGCTGGCCTGTGATTTCTGAATGGTCTTCAGGAACAATGGCTCGATGCCTCACTAGGGCCAGGTGGTTCCCCTCCTTTCTGCTCACTGCTGAGCACCTATTGAGTGTCAGGCATTATTCTTGATGGGGGACTTGAGTGATAAGACAGGCCTGGTCTTGCCCTGTTGGAACCGATATTCCAGGAGACATGTCAGGCAGTAAATAGGGAAATGAATAGGTGCATGGCCCAGCGCTGGAAAGCGAGGGGCGTGGGGATGGATGTGGAGGGGACGTTAGAGCAAAGACCCGGATGAAGAAAGGTGTGACCCTTGTAGAGATGTGCGCACAGAGCAGAGGGAGCAGGCTGTGTGAACTGAAGGATCTGCCTGAAGGTGTGTGGTGTGCAGCAGGGCGTCCTAGAGCTGCCAGCATAGTCTGCGGCAGACGTGTCCCAGAAGGGGGCCGCGAAGCAGCATCTTGGAGCTGACTGGCACCCTGGCCCACCCTATCCTCCCTGTTCTCCTAGGTGTGGCCCACAGAGCTTTTGAAAACGATGTTGACGCCTTGTGTAATCTCCGGGAATTCTTCAACTACCTGCCCCTCAGCAGTCAGGACCCGGCTCCCATCCGCGAGTGCCATGACCCCAGGTGCGTTGTTTTGCAGGGCAGCTTGCCCTTCTCTGGCCCCCGACCCTGACAGGACCTCCAGGGTCTGCCCTACCTGTTGGGCAGGTTGGAGCAGACTGTGGAGTGTACCTGGCGAGCCTCCCGGGTGTGGGGATGACGATGGCATGTCTGGGTACAGGAGCAAAGAGAGATGATTTTATTTACTTTTTTCCTCTCTGCAATATTTGATGGGGAGCTTGGGGGTAAAGAATGGCCAAAATTTTTATTTTATTTTATTTTTATTTCTAAGAGA